CCCATTCGAGCACAAGCCCCTTCGTTACTTGATCTAGCAAAGGGGACACACACCTACTTCTCTTACTCGGCCTCTCAAGCCGAAGAAGAAAAAGAAGACGTAGCAACATCAGGATATAGCTCCTCATTAGAGGGCTATCAAGGACTCGATGCAAGTCCTTCATTGCCTACATTTTCTCAAGGCAATGAAGGCGCCTCTGGAGCTGAGGCACAACCTGCAGCATCTGTTGCTGCAGGGGTTAGCCCTGTGGTTGATCTAGTCACAAAGGTGGAGTTCCAAGCCTTTGTTGACTCGACTTAGCAGTCCTTGGATGACCTAAAACTCATCTTACAATTGATTGGGGAAACCTCCCCATCCATCGATTTAACCCCAATTCAACAATCCCTTGCCACCCTTGAAGCCCAAGCCAAGGACAAGACCACCCGCATCCGCATGCTTCAACAAACCCTCGAACAACAACATCACGCCACATCCACCCTCTCCACCATACGAAACCAAACCATCATGAACACCCTAGCCATCCTCACGGCCCAGGCAACTGCGACCGATGAGGCTTTTGCTTCCATCACCACCCACCTAAACACCATCACCAATACCCTCACCACCCTCCCAGCCACCATACTCTCCCAAATCCCTCAACCAACCCCACCCCCAACCTCATCCATCGATGAAACCATCGCCTCTCTCTCCACCTGAATAGCCACTATACAAACTACCCTTACCTCACTTCTAGCCACCATATTAGCCCAAATACCTCAACCAACCCCTCCTCCACCCCCTCTGCAGCTCCATCCTTTGATAAAGCCTTTACCTCTTTCGCTGCAGAGGCGAGGAACATGTTAGCCTCCATCCCTATACCACCACCCGCATCCACCTCAACATCCATCCCTCCTCCCCCATCGACATCCACCTCCACCACAGACTTTGCCACCAGAGCCGACCTAAGGACTCTGTCAAAGGCACTTATCTCATTGTTCAATGAGATAAGTGCAAAGTTTGCATCCAGAGCAGTTGAGCCGACCAATGCGTTGAAAAAGAGGTTCCTACAACAGGAAGATCGAACAAACTCTCTTCTTCGCTCAATGGAACAAAAGCGCAACAATGATCGAGTATGCACGCTAGCCGACCACATCCGACTATGGAAAAAGAACAGGAGTAGAGCCTCCTACTCATCGAGCCGCCCTATGAAGAGACGAAGGCATGAGGATCTAGACCCCGATGATCATGGTCTCGGTCCTCATGAGGGGGAGAACCCGGCTGCTGCTCAACAAATAGAGTTCACTGCACCATCACCACCACCACATAACTAACCACCATCCACAACCCAAGGATCCTAAGCTAGGGAACCAGAGGCTCAGCCCTCTGAAGATGTACACAATATACATGTTCCCTCAGCCACCACCCAATAACACATTGAGCTAAGTTCTTCATCTAACGAAAACCCCTCTACCCCACAAACAGAAACTAACCTACCCTTCACTCCATCACCAACTCCCAACCTACCCTTAACTCTATCACCAACCCCTCACACCACAGAACCTTGCATCACCTTACCCATACAACCAGAACCCATTATCACCCATTATCACCCAATCTACCTCACCACAACCACCACCAACACAAACAAAGCCCAATGAACAAGAGCTACCCCAAAATGAGCCAACCCAACAAGAAACCATTCCATTACCAACCCAAACACAACCCACAACCGAACCACCATAGGTGCAAGCGGATGTTCCCTCATCATCGAGGCACCCTCCTTAGGGCATGGTCGATGAAATTATTGCAAACATGGAATCGCTAAGGAGACGTCCAGAGATGCCACCAAGGGAGCCAGTTATGATGGAGAATATCCATCAATACTTGTATCACGATCGTGATGAAGGTTTGGCTCTCAATCCTCAAATGCTATCACCAGAATCGATGAACCTCCTGCGTCACAGGTTTGTGAGACAGACGACCAATCAACCACAGGCCGTCTTTTCAAACAAAAGAATCAGGACGGTCATGGATATCAAGATGAGGATGTTCGCTAACAGAGCCATCAAATATATCGAGTACACCATGGAGCCATCCCATGGTCATGTCAGTGTCTTCAATGACAATGACTTGATCAATCTCAATCCATATGACTTGATTGATCTTTATGCACGTACGGCTTAGCGAGAGGATCAAGGAATAAGATTTGGGAGGGCAAACAGAGCAATCGTTCAAGCGATGGAAACTTTGGTGAAACACAGACCTAAGAGTGATTTTCAAATTGCTCTTCAACTCGGCATCGATAGACTATCATGCACTCCACCAAATGAAGACATCCCAAGCTTGCAGGAGAAGAGATTTGCCTCTGTCCTAACTCAACCAGAACTGGGACTAGTGTTCAAGAATGAGTTTGGAGCAAAGAAATTCTTTAGACTAACTGAAGCCTTCAAGTACTCAACAACAACACTTGAATGGTTTCAGAAGGTTATCAGAGACAGATTAGGCAGACCTAATGTACCGATGGGAGAGGGACAAAGACTTATTCATGAGATCTCAACAGTCATTCAATTCAAAGGACTGTTGATGCGCTTCTAGGAGATTACACAAGGTATATCATGAATGAAGTAGTTTGATTTGAATTGTAATATCTTTTTGTTCATCACAGTAAGAACTCATCATTTAGTCCAATGAAAATTTGGCAAAAGATGTTTTTCTTTAGATTAGCCTCTGTTCATCACATATGCTTTAAATGTTCCTAGATTAGTTCATGTTTGTTCTTTCATTACTTAGGGGGAGATTGTTAGACCCCATCATTCTTATGTGTAAAATTAATGAAGAAAACAAGTGATGAAGAACCAGAAGGCCGATGGAAGACTTCAAGGAAAAATGGCTAAGTCCCCAATACAACCAGAGGGTCGATGAATCGACCAGAGATGCGATGGAAAGAGCATCTTCATAGCCCCTCTAGTTATCAACACATGGAGTTTTCTACAATAGTTCAACCAGAGGTATGCAATGAAGATATAAATATAAGGTTGAATAACACCCCATGGAAGACAGCTGGAGATGACTAATCGACAGTTGGATTCTACAAAGTTTATCTTGTCTAGATAAGCTTTATCTTTACTAGAAGATTAGCTAGATATTCTCCTTTGATAGTTATCTTAAAATAGATTTCTAGTATAAATAGGTGATTAGGCCTATTGTAATAGTTGACTCTTTTGAAGCTTTTCACAATCATTGGAATAAAGTGAATCATTTGAGTGTTCATCATTTTATTCATCCAAACTATATAATTAGGTTATTCTTAACTTAATTATTAGTATTATTCAGAGATCTGGGATCAACAAGATGGTTCTTCTTCGGATTCTGACTCCACTACTAGTGCCTTCTTGTTTTTCCTTCTTGTTTTTCCTTCTGTGATCTCTGGTAGAGATCATTGTAACTTCTTTTTCTTTTGCAGCAAGGGCATGGGGTCCGCCGATGGAAACTTTCTTCTTCATTATATCCTTCTCTTGTGCAGCAAGAGTTCCATAGACATCATGAAGCGACCAACTGTCTAAGTCCTGATTTGCTTGGAAGGACATCGACAGTTGAGTCCACTCATCACCGAGACTCTTGAGAAACAAAACATTGTTTTCTTCTTTCATCCTAGCAATATCATTTCGGTGACATTGATTGATCAATGTGTTGAAACAATCATAAATCTTCTGAATTGGTTCATCAAGTAGAGCCTTGAAATTAGTGTATTCGTTGAGGCATTGCGCCCTATGATTTTTCATCGTCTTCGCACCTCCTTCTAGTTGGCTCGCCAGTTCATCCCATATATCCTTTGTTGTTGTACAAGCATCGAGAGATTGGAAGATGTCATTTGGAATGGCCATAATGATCAGCCTCTTAGCCTTCATGTCTGCCTCTACACGCTCAAGGTCGTCTTCGTCGCAGTTCTTTTCATCTTTAGCCATCTAGTAAGCATCAACTTCTACATTAGTGCTTGTTCCAGGGACTCTTGGAACAAGGATCTGAGGAACATAAGGGTCTTCCATGACGGATCTGAGGAGATTCATGTCCATCCCCTCTCGGAAATTCACCATTCGTATCCTCCATTGTGGATACTCTTCTCTTTGAAGAGTTGGAGGCTTGGTGAGGGAACTCACACTATATGCAGAATTCCAGTTGGCCATGAGAGTTTTTAGAAGAGAGAGAAAATATGCTTTTTGGAGAAGACGATTATGAATTTAAGAGATTTTGATTTCATCATTTTGATTGAAAAACAATCAATTGGCTCTGATACAAATTGTTGATCCCAAATATCTCAATAACACGAATATTCAAGTTATGAATAACCTAAATATATCGTGTAGATGGAAAATAGTGAAGAACACACAAGAACGTAAAAGAATATTCAAGAATAAGTTTTAGTGTCAAATGATTCACTATTATTCAAATGATTGGTGGAAAAGCGTTAACGATTACAAGAATGATAAAGCCTATTTATACTAGTAATATAATTATGGAGATTGCTATCTATGGAAGATATTTAGCAAATCTCTTATGAAAAGGAAAACAATCTAGAAAGATGGAAAGTAAATAAAGCAAAGAAAGAAATGGAGAATCTAGTTGTCGATTTGCCATCTTCAGCTGTCTTCTAGATGACGTGTTCAACTATGAGTCTTGTAGTCTTCTTCATCGAGTACCTCTTGTTGAACTGTTGTGGAAAACTCCAAGTGATGGTAACTAGAGGGGTTATGGAGATGCGCAGTTCATCGCACCTTGGACCTTCATCGCATCTCTGGTTGTATTGGGCACTTAGGCTTTTTGCTTAAGAGTCTTCCATCGGCCCTCTGCTCTTTCACACTTGTATGTTTTTCATTACTTTTACAAATATGAGTGATGAGGTCTAACAATATCCTTTATTACAATTTTTAGAAATGAAGTCACTACCAACCATAGCATCAAGAATGATTTTATCAACATTAGAAAGACCATTATAAAATGTTTCTAATTGGAGGCAGTGAGGGCTTCTACGATGAAGACATTTTCAAAGAAGTTCCTTGAATCTCTCCCAAGCATGTGAGGCTGCTTCATCATTCCCTTGCTGAAACAAAAAATATCATTTCTAAAACTTCACATTCTTAATTGATGGAAAGTATTTTATTGGCTCTATCTCTCAATGTATAAGAGAAGAGTATCAATCGTAAGGCTTATACAATAACTTCGGGAACACGAAAATGATCTATCATTTTTTTTAAAATGATTGTAAATGAGAGTGCGGATCTTTAAAAGGTAATCCACTAAATTGAACCATTGCTTGGATCACGTGAAACACTACTGATTTAGGTTCAAAAAGTTGTGCCATAATATATTGCCTAAGGAACCCCGAATTTAGTTAATCAAATTTGGGTGTTGCATAGTCATGTATTCCCCGTAATTTGTCATTGGCATTTTTAACCATGGTTCTATTTAAAACATGGTCTTGCCAATTTTTGTCCTTCTTCTACGTCCATTCATGGTTTTTATTCTATTGGGTCAAGAGGTAAAAGTTCACCATGCAGTACTCATGGCATATAACCTAGAAAGTTCTTTGAAAAATAAACGAGCGACTCAGGCTCGAATGGAAATCAAAATCTCAACATGTAAAATCACGCTAGTCCTTGACAACCGCGCCAGAAACTTGATAGTAGAAAATCTGTTAGGTCCACCTGAAGTGGCTACACTATTGCCACAATGGAAGTAAGTATACACCAACATAATGACTGCTAATAAAAGTGGTAGTACACCAATATCATTTCTACAGGGACAAAACTACTAACAACTAGAGATTTCCATGAACTTCTTGTGCAAGTTTTGGTTATGAGAAAAATTGATGATTTTGTTCATGAAACTGATTTTAAGATGAAATGAATTATTAATTAAAAAATGGGTATAGGTGTAAGTTTTGCTTAAGAGAATGCTCAGAAACTCATGTCACAAAAATATCCATAAGCATCCCGATCTCTTGAAAGTGAATATTTATAAACAATGCCCACAAAGTTCCCACAAAATCACCACTACTGCAGTTTCTAAGCTTATCGATCTAGAAAAGTTGGTATAATGAATCAAGGTTCTATTAGTATGAAGATCTATTCTCAAATCTCTTTGTAGTGCAAATCTTTACCAAACTTTGAACCTTAAAAAATATAATACAAAATTTGTATCTCTAAGTAATTGTCAACGACTTACTCAAATCTTTGGGCATCACCTATGCCATATTTCGAATATTCCCATCTCTAGATATAGATCTAGATTAACACTTAAAAGTTAATGGCTTATCCTCATTGAGTTAAGGCTTCGAGTCAAATAACCAAGCTTAAGAATTAGTAATAGTGGAAATACCCAAGTGTTGCCTACTATTCTTAAGTTCGGCTTACACCCACACCGAAAGATGTGCTTCGCTCATAATAAAAATAGAGAACATGGAAGAAGTAAATAAATATTTAAGAAATACTTGAATTAAATAAAACTTGAAACTATTGGCACTGTGACAAGACAATGTATAAAAATTCAAATACTTGAAATTAAATACAAGATGTAAATTAAATGCTAAAAATTTAATGCTTCCTCTATTGCTAGAAATCTTTTATAGAGAGTTGAATACTTGGAATGATGTATCTTAGATGCTTCCTCAATGCTCCAATTTATAGGGGAGAAGAAGGAGAGTTGCACCTCCTTTTACCCAATTGAAAGAAGCTTCAAACAATCTCTTTAACAAAAAGGCTCTTCCCCTTCTGTTCGTATAAAAACTCAGACCTTGTTTCAACTTTGGAAGGTTCCATGTGACCAGAAGTAAAACTTGAAATCTTATCCAAATATGCCTAAAAAATTCCCATAATGGCTAGATTGTGGCTCAGTCTAACAGTGACATTTTAGAATAAAATTAAATCATTGGCATTTCATGACCTCTTAGAAACAATGTAGAATAAAATAAAGAGGTAGAAGCTGTTAGAACCCATAATGCAAAATGTAAAAAGTAATGAAAAACAATAAGTGATGAAGAACCAGAAGACCAATGGAG